CCAAGAGAAAGTATATGTCATTTCTAACAGTTGTCATTGACTTGAAGGCATATTATTATCACCATAATTAGGCTAATAACTTCATGCAGTAAAGGGGATCTTCTAAATAAATACAAACATTTATGTTATGTTTTCCCCTGCTTTTGTCTTCTATTTATTCTATGTTAGCCAAGACAGCTAAAATTTTCAGGGATCTGGTCTGGAAAATCTGAAAACCACTTTAAAAGAGGTAGAAAGCAAGGATGTTCAGTTAGTATGCCTAATTCCAGTTAATTTTAAGTGGTACTCACCCTGAGAAAGTAGTCATGACATTGATGTCGATATTAAGTTTATGATGTCACAAATTGCTGGGAGCAGAAACAGAACAGGGCTTTCCTGGAAACTAAGCAAATGGTTGCTATAGCTGCAATGTTTCAAGGAACATACGGCCTTTGAAGAGTCATTTGAGACATTCCCACTGTATTCCATTAGCACCAATAGTGGCTACTATTGTGAGCATAACCTCTTTTCAACCAGTCTCCTTTTTTATTCATGTGCCTGGCTTATGATGGTGCTACTTTCACAACCAAAATTAGAAATCAATGCCCAGATAAAGCATAGGAGATGGAGCCAAGCAAACTATCTCAACACCTTTCAGCATTATTGCTTAGTTCTCTGTTTATCAGTTCTGTTTCCATCCATTTTTTTCCATAGGCTGTGTTTATTTATTTCATAGGCTGTATTTACTTAACTGCATTTATTTTTCAGCTCACCCACAGCCCCCAGCAGTTTTGAGCATAGAAAGGTTCCATTCCCCACCATCCAGTCAGACTGAAGAAGCTTCTTGGATGAGAAGCAAAACGTCTTCAAAGAAAAAACAAGAATGTCCAGTTGCCTCCTGAAGAAGCACCTTTGGGACAGACAGCCTGGTTGAATGTTTAAGAAATTCTTAACAACAAGAAGAGCTTAATAGAGATGTGCAGAGAAATGGTAGATTTCCCTTCATTGGATGTGTTTAAGAGGGTGCCAGACAACTACCTGTACACTTTAATTTGGATTCTTGTACTGAGCAGGAGGTTGTACTTTAGTGCTCCGATTCAGCTGTGTTTCTATGTCTTCTAAAAGTAAGAGTTGTTTCTTTTGGAACAACATGTAATGTCATATCCAGTCTGTTCTCAGTAGTCTATCTACTGTGCTTTATTTACATATGTCACAAAGTGCTCTAAAGAGTGTTCTCTAAGGAGTCATAACTTGATCATTGCTGCTCTGGGTAGGTTTTATATAGAAACATTTTGCTTCATTTAACATTATGAGAATGGTGTGTATTGTGCTGTTTGAAATACATTGTTACAGAGTAACAATGGCTACTCAATTCCATAAAGAAAAAGATAAATGGAATATTTTGGAGATGCTTAATACCTTTCTTTTTAAGAATGTTGATTATAATAGTAAAATCTAATACAAACTACATTTAAAAAAATAAAAGAATAGGAAGAAAAAAGGAGAGAAGTAAGACTACAATAAAGAAGTAAGCAAATAATTAAATAAAGAATATACTAAGGAATAACTTCTGACCATCACAAGTATAAACAAATTTAGTGACTCTACACTCCCTCTAAGGTTACAAACATTTATTACTTCATCCCATATACATTTCTTATCTATAAACAAAACCATGAAACATTTTTTTCGGTCCTGGTGTCAGCAGAAAGTCCATAAATGGTTGGCAGAAATAACAAAATATCTTGTTTCAACATTAATCAAATAATCCAGAGATTCCCAGCCCTGGGCTATGGCCCACTATCGTGCCTTGAGCCATTCGGAACCGGGCCATGGAAGCAGTGGGCAAGAGAGGAGCTATCGCCTCTTTCCTCCACCACCACCAGCCTGCAAATCTGGAAATTAAAATAAACCATCTTTATATTCCTCTGCATCACTTCCAACAGTCTCAAATGTTGAGACTATGTTAGCTCATTCAAATGTTACAGGATTTGATTTCATTTCTTTGTCCCTTTGCACAGAGTTCTTCAAGGCTTTAACAAGTCTTTTTTATAGATCCAATAGGGCAAAATTATTGAAGTCGCTGTTTTAGTTTGTTATTTGCAGTTTCCTTTTAAATTTTAAAACCTCAGCCAGTTTCTTTTGTAGATCCAGTGAAACATCTTTTTTCCAATTCATTCTCTTGGCTTATGAATTGTAAACCCACTTTGATACCTTTATATTGTCAGATAAAAATTGTTCTACATCTGTCAAGTTTTCCCTAACATATTTTGGACATGGTCTATCAATGGAAGCAGACATCATTATTGATGTTACAGCTACTATTTTCTTATTCTATTCTTTAAAAGTCTCCATTATTTTCATTATTACAGCGTTCTGCAATATTTTACAGGCTTTGATTTTCTTTCCTCTTTCTAAAAGCCTTCATCCCCTCTAGTGTCCATGTCATGAAATTGCTTATCTTTGTTGTATCTTGTAAAAACCAGAACAGAATCTATTTTCTACCAGAAGCTGTTCTTTATAATTACAGGTAGTCCTTGACTTACAACGATTGGTACTGAAAAAAGGGATGTATAACCATTTTTCAAACTTACAACCATTGTAGCATCCCCATGGTCACATGATCAGAATTTGGATTCTTGATAGTTGCAGTGTCAAGCAAAGTCAATGGGGAATCCAGATTCACTTAACAACTGCAGTGATTTACTTAACAACTATGGCAAGAAAGATCGTAAAATAGGACAAAGCTCATTTAGCAAATGTTTAAAATTTGCTTAAAATTCATTCAACGAGCAACTAGCAACAGAAATTTTGGGCTCAATTGTGGTCATAAATTGAGGACTACCTATAATTGTAAAATCTTTTATAATAAGTTTCAATATTTCAATTTTACTTGGACCCCTAATCTGTTTATACGTTTCTAAGACAAGAATCTTATTTAGTTTTTTGCTGTTTATTCTGGATTCTTTAAATTCTTAAGGTTATGATTAAAAGTTTATTTCCTTTAAGATTGAAGCCAGATTTACTCAGTGTTTCAAACTTGTTGAAGGAATAGGTTAGAGCTATTTAATGAGCATTTTGTGCAAGTGATAAGAAAGTGAGGTTTATGAACTTACTGGCCTTTAATTGTCTGCATGGTTGCGTCTCCTGCTTGGGCAGGGTGTTGGACTAGATGACCTACAAGGTCCCTTCCAACTATATTAATCTGAAAGTAAGATGGCTAGTGTCTCCCAGCACCTGTGGAAAATCACTGTCCTGTGAACTCCTTGCAGGGATCACCTGTCCAGGATACGTGGGCATGTGAACAATCTCCCATCCTCTCCTTACCCAGAGAGGTTCAAGGAACTATTCTACTTACTGGTTCCTTGGTCTTTGCTGTGTTTGTTAGCTCTGCTTTCACAGAACCATCTTCAGTTACCATACTTCCTTTGGAAGTTTCCTGGATGCTTAATAACTGTAAAATAGAGGCAGGATGCTTTTGGTTCTGCAGTTATTTTCAATAACTGTTCCCATAATATGTGACTATGCTGATTAGAGATAATCCAACATATCTATAGTAGCATTCTATTGCTTACCCTGCCTTAAAGAAATTCTATATCACTCAAACTGCAAAGCGGAGAATGAGTGTAAAGTTTGATAAGTAAAAGTTTTCCTGAGCCATCCTATACAGCAGGGGTCCCCAACTTTTTTTGGTTCTGTGGACCGGCGGCAGTGGTTTCAGTGGTTTTGGCAGTGGGGGAAAATGGTTTTGCACACGCAACCTAAATCCAGCACATGAGCAAATGAAGCTTTGCACACTCATCTGTCAGTAGTGGGCCACAGCCTAGGAGTTGGGAATCCTTGCTGTAAAGTACAATTGTTATTTTAGAATGCATGTGATGGGAAATAACATATCAAATTGAATTTGGACATCAAATCAGTTCTGGCTTTTAAATTACAGATATAAAGAGTTTTTTAACCTTTTTATTATTTAATCAAAATTATGACTGTTGCTATCCTGTTTCATTATATTGAATCAAAACCATGTGGTTTTGACCTGCCTCTCGCTCTGTCTGGATGAAATTGAACAGAATTAGGTATGATATTGGAAGAAGTGCTCTGCCCTGTATATGCGGGGGTGGAAAGATTCCCCTTGTTGCGATTGTGATGCTGATATGTAAACATATTGTACAACAGGGGTCCCCAACCACCGGTCCGCGGACCGGTACCGGTCTGAGGAACAACTCCTACCGGGCCGCGGCTTGCTGGGCGCCGCCATCTTTTTTTTCATGAAAAAGTGCTTCCGGTGAGCTTTTCCGGGTAGAAAGCTCACCGGAAGCACGTTTTCATCAAAAAAAGATGGTGGCGCCAGCGCTTCCGGTGAGCTTTTCCGGGTAGAAAGCTCACCGGAAGCACGTTTTCATCAAAAAAAGATGGCGCCGCCAGCGCTTCCGGTGAGCTTTTCCAGGTAGAAAGCCATTTCTACCCGGAAAAGCTCACCGGAAGCGCTGGCGCCGCCATCTTTTTTTGATGAAAAAGTGCTTCCGGTGACCTCACCGGAAGCACGTTTTCATCAAAAAAAGATGGCGGCGCCCAGCTGATGCCGTTACCGGGCCGCAGCGCCCAGCTGATGCCGTTACCGGGCCGCGGCGTCAAAAAGGTTGGGGATCACTGTTGTACAAGATTGCCTGTGACCTGAATTTTCTGCTTTCCTAGAAGATCTGTTCAAAGCAATGCCAGAGGCAATCACCTGGATAGCTAAATTGGACCTCCAGTTATGAGGCCACTGCCATATCCCCATAGAAGTTTCATATATAATTATGTGGATTGTGTGTATATGTTTACTTCTCTTCTGTCATGTTCTCACCATATGCTAAATAATAAATATGATTATTTTGAATACTTTATTTGGCCAATTGTAAGTAGGCACACAAGAAATTTGTCTATATTGGTATAAAGCGCCGATCTAAGTTTTGTTTCTGAAACTAATGCTGCATTTTCAGAAGAACGTATTTGAGCTTTTTTCCTTTTCTTTGTTTTAGATGATCATCTACTCAGATTTCCACAAAAGATTTTGAAGAAATCACCGACCGATCAACAGATTAGCAAACTTGCTCAGAGACTTGGACCTGAATGGGAGTGCATTGTATTGTTTCTTGGCTTGAGCCAAAATGATATCTACTGTTGTAAAGTCAACCACCCATACAATATAAAATCACAGATTGTGAGTGCCTTCATTTTATGGAGGCAACGTTTGGGGAATAAAGCTACTGTGGAGAGTCTGTGCGCTGGTTTGAAATTTGGAGAAGTAGATTCTTCAGTAATCCAGCAGCTGTTTTAATGAGCTTCTAAACCTCATCACAACTGGATTCAATAGAACCAAAGGCCCATCCAATATTCTCTTCGCACAGTGCTCACTCAGAAATTATGAAAAGTCTACATCTTGGCACAACTATAGCAATCACCCAGTATTTTCTGGGTACATTGCTTACCAATTGGCCTTAACATGCCAATGTTGATTGCTGCAGCAGGTATATTGCCATCATAATGAGGGTTGGTAACCCCTTTCTCTCCCTTTTTGGAGTCTCCAGATGCCATGCCTTCATGGCAAAGTGGCAAAGCCACTTTTAAGATCAGATACTGTGGAGGAGATTTTGGTATGGCATGAGATCCCATCATGTGGATGAGAAATTAGTGTTGACAACCATACCAATACTGTGCAAGCCTTCTGCAATTCCAAGTGACTCTTCTCTTGGCCTTAGTAATCTTTATTAATAGCAGTAAGTTGATCCAGTAGCAAATCATAAGGAAAGGGCAGTCATCACTGAATAGCTACCAAAGATAACAGTCTCACTATTAGAGATTCAAGGAAACATAACAGGTACTTGGAGTTACTACTTTGTGTTATACACCCAGCAAGTTGGTGACTCTGCTTTTTTAATGTTAATGTCTAGGAATGTTATAATGTCCTGTTTATTTTTAAAGAATGCATATTACAACCATAAAAAATAACAGTCCAAAAACTCTACATTTTGTTATATGAATTCTGAGTACTTATTGTGTAAGTTACTTAATTCTTGATGGTGTGCACTGGAGTGGCCGTACTCTGTATTCTATACTTTGTATATAAAGATGTCATGGTTCCAAACCAAGCCAGCAGAAGAAGAGGCCGCACTGTGAGCAGAACAGGTCTCTTTCCTAGAGTCTCCCAGCTTGGCACGTGGTGAACAACACAAGTAAAAATGTTTCTAGTCAGCATTACTGGCTTCTGCTAGCCAGCTGGCTATATGGGCACAGCATGCTCTGCCCTCCTGTTCCTGGTTGCTCCCTGGCCAGCTCCAGCAAGTACTTTCTGGCCCAGCTCCAGCAAGCACTCTTCAGGCCTGGATGGCTTCTGACCAACTGCAGCTGGCTTGCCTTCCTGAGTCTTGTTCCAGCATGAGTCCCATCACCTGACATTCATTTGTGGTCCCCTGCGCGTGGCAAGTATTGGCAAAAAGCATACTCTTTCCAACTTACTTGTGTCGTGTTCCTCCAGATATGTTCATTTGTGATTCAGTAATATTGCCAAGTGTTTTCTATTTATTGGATTTAACTTTGTAGATATTCCTAAAAGCCAGTTTTCATATTTGATTACTGTCAGCTTTCATGTGGCTATTCTGTCTCAGTATTTTTCCATAAGAGAAATCTTGCTTAACACGTATACCTCTCAGAGCAAAGTTCACTGTTGACAGGAAAAAGGAGCTGATAAGATTAACTTCACAAAAGCCTGTGAAAGGATGTGTATTCAGTTTCACAAAAGCCTGTGTCAGATAAAAGATGTGTATTCGATAGCAGTCACGATGTATCATCACAGAAACTTGTGTCAGATAAAAATACAGGAAAAAACATGCTTATCAATAACAG